AAAGGTATTTAGATAAATAAAGCAAGTTAAGAATATTTACAATATATATTAATATATATATATATATATATTATGATAAAGGGGATTTTTTTTTATTTTCAAAAAAGATGCCAAAGGGGATGAATGGGATAGGGACACTAGAAGAAGTGTTGTTTTAGAATTTAGAGGGGAGGCTGGAGGGACAAATGAAGATAAAGGTAAGGAAGAGGGAAAAACTAAAGAGAAGACCTGAAGACTAAACTAGAGAGTTGGGCGCCAATTTTGTTGAGTAGCAACAAAATAAAACTAGATAGGAAGGAAGGAAAAATCAAAAGAACAGTATAGGAATATATATTTACAAGATAAAGTAGTATTTACAGATTATTAAAAAAAAAATATGGAATGTGTGTGTAGTGTGGGTTGTGAAGTGGGCGTGGGTCGTCGGCGATCTTCAGGGGCGGCTTGAACGGTAGGGCGTGGGTCGTCGGCGATCTTCAGGGGCGGCTTGAACGGTAGGTCGTGCTACAGGTAGATGGACGGCGCTCCTTGGAGGCAGAAGCGCTCCTGTGCAGCCGTCTTAGTTCTTGGCCTCCCCTGGTGGTTGCTGGCGGCGCTGCTGGTAGTTTGGCCGGCGTATATCGGCCAGAGGCGGGCGTTGAAGAAACGGCAGGAGTCGGTAGAAGGCGGGCTGAAGCAGCTGGAGGCTGGCCGAAGAAACTGGAGTCCAGGCGCAGTCCCACCGATGAGGTTGCGAGAACGTGTATAGTAGTATAGTATTGGAGTTAGGAAGTTGTTTAAAGAGCCAATAGGTGCTAAAAAGCTTTGAGGTCTTTCTTAAGTCCCGGGGCAGTCGGCCCCGGGACAAGGCCTTTTATTAATTTAGAGCTCGGTAGCGAGCTTTCAAAAGTTGAGTAGGCAACTTTTGCCGTAGAATTGAATCAATGATCAGGGAGGCTCGGCCTTTTATAGGTCCGGAACCATTTGAATTTAGACACGGTTCGAATCGAGCCAAAAAGAATCAAAGTAAGTGGTCTGTGGAGGTTGAATAGTCATAGACGTAGTTGGAGAGAGTATCCGTGTCATGGGTAGCCATGGCAACGGATAAAAAACATTAGGATGTCATAAAATGTCAATAAAATAAATAAATTAAAAATAGATAAAATCAAAGCATAATTAGTGAAAACAAGTAAATAACAGAATAAAGAGAAATGCCGGTAAGTGTCCAGCACTCTGGAATAGTGATTTTCAGTACAGAAGAAATTATTATACGTATTTACAAAGTGATGAATAGTGTGTGATATTTTTGAAATTATGTGTTTCCAGGAATAAATGATAAAATATATGATGATGCCTGATGAATATCGATGATGTTATATGATAAAATGTGCGAAATGGAACCTATGATAATCGAAACCATGAGTCGAAACCATATTAAGGTACGTTACACCACCCCTTAGAGAGAGCGCGCACTAGTGATTTTTGTCTGGGTGAAAATATTTTTTTTTGTCACAGTCACGTCACCCAACATTACTCGACTGCGCGCACTTACAGTGACAGTTGAGAAACAATTGCGGAATTTGCATGCAGCGTGTTTCGATGGCCAATTGTGACTAAAGCGAATTATGGTTATACACCACAATTTAAGCGGATCACTTTTGAGCCGCGAGTGCCGCATCTTCCCTTTTTGTTTTAATCTAAGATCATTATCTAAATCATCTTCATATAAACATGGATTTTGCACCGTAGTTGACGTTGACGCCGTTATTTTGTAATATAAGCGATGACGTTCGAAAGCTAACTGAGGTGTAGAAGGGTGAGGAGCAGGGAGCAAAGTGACAGTTGCGTCACGGGCTTGTCGCCAGCCCCCGCGGATAAAAAGTTACCCACGAGTTGCGTATACAAGTGCGCGCATCGTCTTATAGGTCCGTGTATGAGGTGATAGCGACGAAACAGTCACGCTGAAAAAAGTCACCAGTGCGCGCATAGCCTTAGTAAATTTTACATAATTAATACAGATAAGATCTTTAAATTAGATATTTAAATGACATTTGTTCATTTTGTTGAGAAGTTTTTCTTGAGGGTAGTGTTTTAATTTGTAAGTTTTAGATCAGTGGGGTTTTTCTTCATGAATATTTATAAAAGAAAGAAGCAATATACTAAATCATGATTGTCTAATTCTTGAATGGTTCAATGGTTTATCAAGCCTTCTGCCTTTATCATGAGGACGTCATGTACATAAACAACAAAATGACCAGTTATCCCGTTGGCTATTGAAAACATTTCGTCATTTTTTTTGCCTTCTACATATCGGGCACATATGTAGCAGTAGCTTGCAGGCAGGTTTGAATAGATTCTCCAAAAAATTGGAGCAGGTATGCAAAGGAAAAAAGGCTATTCAGAGAATAATCGATTTACGAACAGAAATGTCGCTCGGATTAAATCTGGTTTTAATTCCAAATGGATTCTGTAGGGTTCTGCCCCGCTTTCCTGGCCCGCCGACCTTTCTTGTTGATGGTTGTACAACATTTATAAACCTTTCAGTGTATGAATTATTTAATGTTGACCTTATTATTTGTTATGACTTTACTAATTGACTGAAAGTATGGTCGATTTAGAGAAAAACTTTTAACCTCGTTAAAACTAAAGTCGATTGTGATGGGTTTGAATGATTTTTAATGTTTAAAATTAAAATATAGCTTGTCATACGTGCTATTTGTTCTGCATTTCGCGCATTCTTCTATATTTCTTTTTTATTCACATAATGCTTATCCTAAACCTGCGTGACGAAGCTTCGGGTGGCTTTGGCACTAAAATGCGCTAAAACTAACGTTTGAACTTTGAATTCAGTACGCTCTTTCAGCTGTACATAACCATTTTTCGTTTTCCACAACCCCCCTTATTGTGTCAAATTGTCATCATTCAAACTATCGAATAGCGTCTATATAAATAAGGATCCAAGACTACCAGACCTTAATTATTTTCTTATGGGCAAAAAATGGATAATCGAGTAGCATAATTGTGTACAATGAACGTATACCATAAATACTCGCTAATTTCTGCTGTGGGACAATTTTTTGATATCAGGTGGCATAGGCACGTAAAAATGCTAATCACCTAACCTACAGTCTGGGGACTAATTCCTACGTATGTTGTAGAGAATATTGTAAACGATTTGAAATTCATGCTGCCAGATACATTTTGTCCGCATTATTTATTGCCAGACACTTTAAATGTCGAAAGCAAAAAAACACAAACGACTACTCATATTTACCCATGAGAAAATAAGCAGTCTTGGAATAATAATTAATAACCCACCCGCTAATTAATAACGACAAAACTAACTCAAACGCTAATTTTGGGGCATTTAGTATCAAGAAGCTAGAAAATTAAAAGCTTCGTTGTGGTGGCAGAAGCATTATAAATATGAAAGCGAATAATAATGCGTCTTGCATTATGTCATACCCTCATTTTACAGTTTTCCATTAAGGATTTCTAATTATATCTTTATGAAATCAAGGCGCGTGTCAATTATATAAAAAAAATGAGACATTATTCTTCTTCAGATGAGAAAGTTTTCCCGAAACAGTCAACTTAAAATAATGCTGAATTTATGAGAAAAAAACAATAATAACTGTTTGTGCTCCAACGCAATCATCGCGCTCCGATAGACTGTAAAAAATTGCCCGTGTAATTTCAATTTCAAATTTCAGGCGCGTTGAATTTGAGTGGCAGTTTTTGTTTCGTCTCATCTTTTTTAAACACTAAAAATTTTACTGTTAATGTGGTGGCGAAAAACTGAAAAGGCATTAATTAAAATAGTGGCTAAGGTTTACTTATTTGAAGATGGCTCTCAGGCTCTATCGTTATACGGTAACTAATGGGATTTATTTTAAGTTTGACTTTCACCAACTTACTTTAACTTAAAATTCTCAGTTAAAGTACCGGTTACATAAAAAAACGGGTCGTACACTTTGACAAAAGTAAAAAATAGTTTATAATTTTACAGTGCCAAATAATTATCCAAGCTACAACTGGTCTCCAGTTGAAGTTTTAGAAAAAAATAACTTTAACTAGCTCTGTGGTGCAACTCACACTGAATCTTTTGAATTTGAAATAACGTATTTTATATTTAAACTATAAAATGGATGAAGATAGATTGAATTTTTGTGGTAGCGGATTAAGTGATTTAGAGACTGTGAATGCGATGCGATGGTAACTTCTTCGAAATCGTTTAGTGCCGCGTTGCATTACTTTGGAGTTTTTTTTGTGACTGATATTTTGTGTATGTATGGTTTAGTTAGGGACTTCATAAAGTAAGCGCCTGGGGCGTATGCGCGAGACGCTGTGAATACAAAATGATGACGCTTGATGCCACGTGACCGGATCTAAGGTGTATTTTGATTCATAGCACAGGTTTTGAGGTATTTGGTATTCACAGCGTTTCGTTTCAAGATGTCTCCCTATAGCAATCCCTTTATTGTTGAGGAAATTCGCTATCTTCAGCTTATTATCAATGCCCCTACGGCTGCTGGGGCACAGGCCTTCCCTATATGGGTGCAATCTAAAGAAAATATAACTAGAAAAAAAAACACGCGGACCAGGCAGCAGACGGATGCCGCGTCTTTAGATTTGAACATCAAGCAGTTACATGCTTAAAAAATAAAAATTATAACTATAATTGCTATTTCTTCTTTGAAATGTTTAATACTTGTAAAAGTAATCATTTGACATTGTGAGTTACCTACAATACGAAGAAATGGCGCTGCCTTGCAGCTTAAGAATGGCTAGAAGAATTTCGACGCGGCCATCAGGGCCACGGTAGCATAGTTGGTCAGTGCATTCGCCCGGATAGCGAAGGGTGCAGGTTCGAGTCCCAGCTGCTGCCTGGTCCGCGTGGATTTTTTCTAGTTATATTTTCTTTAGAATTGAACATCAAGCAGTTACATGCTTAAAAAATAAGATTATAACTAAAGTAACGCTGACGAAGTTGCAGGTAGAATCTAGTCGACTATAAAACTCACCATTTTTCTTATAGAAGATGAGCTCCAGTTTGAGCTCGTGCTTGGAGTCGAGCGCAGCGTCGATCTCGTGGCGGTGCTCCTCCCTTGTGTCAGGCCCGTGCAGAAACTTGCATGCGCAACCCTTCTGCATGATGTGCGCACGCGCCCAGCCCGTCAGCTCGCAGAACCCGTCCGAACAGTACACGATCGGGTAAGCGGGCACTTGAGCGTTGCCCAACACGAAGTTGCTGTCTGTGAAAGAAGCAGAACGATTCGAATTCAATTCATTCGAAAGTAATTTAAACATTCTTCGGGATAGAGTAGCGAGTGTATGATTTCTTAATAACAAAATGCAAGACAGCAATATCTTTTCTCTACTACTATGTAGAAGTGTTGTGTTGTAAGTGTAGAAATATTGAAATAAGTTTCTATCGGGGATAAGAGTTTCCTTTAAGACTTCACCTTTCACTGACTTTGATACACTAGTTCTTGAGAAACATAAGGAAACTAACACGTATGTAGAATATCGGATCTTGTTACCTTGGTAATAGTATGCTATGTACATACTATACGTGTTAAGATAATAAGTTACAGGTAATAAGAAATTCTAAGATTCTCACATTTTATAAACTTAATATTATTCCTTATTAAAGAGGTTCATAACAAAAATCACACTGTTATCTAGAATGTATCAAAAGAATTTCATTTATTATGCTTTGCAGCAAATGGGCGTGAACCTCTCGCTTACAAATAAGTTTATTAAGAGTTCTTCAGATAGAATCGGGGAGACTATTCCATAGTCGTATAGCGTGAAGAGTGATTGAGTTGGATATAAAGCCAGAGAGAGAAAGCGGAGTTTAAAGGGCTAAAGAATCACTAGAGCGGAGTTGGCGATCATTAGAATTACAGTGATTTTCAAACTCGCACTTCAAATAATCTGAAGGATGGGGATTAGAGAGAATAAAATAAATAATATTTTTCCTTATGAAAGCAGTTCATAATAAAAATCACAATGGCACAAAGTGTGTATGTTTAATCTTCTGATTGAAAACATACACCTATTCTGAGAAGAACACACAAACACGATGGGTGCTTCGAAAATGACGTGCCGCAGTTTAATTAACGTAGATACCATTTAATTATAGAACTGAGTAATTGAAAGTCAATGTTATTAACTGTGTTTGTTAGGAGTACGTGGAACAGCATACACGTTTGGGCAGCATCATATATAGCGTGCTACATTTTCGAGGTTACTCGTTGTACAGTTAGCAACAGGGCAAGTTATCCAAAGAATAAAATTTAATGTTTTTATTTGAGTATTTGGGGGATAAAGCCGAGCGCGTCCGTGGGCTTTAGCTCTAGATACCCACACGTGTCCCCTGGGTAGCGCCAAATGCTCGGCACATCACCGGTGGTAGGTTTCGACCGTGGCTGGTAACCACCCTCTAGGCAAAGCCGAGCCGCCAAACGACTTTCATCGTGTTTCGGCTCGATGCCTGGTGTTGCCGTTTTTAGGGGGGGAGTCCGAGCAGTTGCGATGTACAGCTTGCCGGCTTCGGTGTTGTGTGATTGCTGCGCTGGGTGGCTGATCGCGGAGGGTAGCGGGATCCTAAGCACGGTTCTCCGCTGGCCGACCGCAGGTAGTAGGGGGCCCAAGTAGTAGGAAAGCCACCTACGAAAGGCTGCCCCGCCAACTCGCGAAAAATCCCAAGGTGCGCCATCGTGCCGGTTGGCGACCGGATGCGAGGGCCCGATGGACACTTTTGGGGGGGTTAGGGCGTCCCCGCGCGCTCCAGCTCAGTCACCCATCAGTGTGGCGTCATAACTGCATCGCTTGGCAGTAGCTTAGCAGAGTCTCGCTCATCTGTCCCCTTCCTGCCTGTTCACTCTCTACTTATGAAAAAAAAAAAAATATATGAAAGTCAAAAGAAGGAAACTGGTGAAACAGCGGATGCACTCCCTCGCACTAAAAGTGCACCTTGCTAACGTCCGAGGATTGCACTCAAATATCGATAGTGTCCATCACCACCTTGAGACCGATAAACCACATCTGCTGTTCCTCACGGAGACTCAAATAAGATGCCCGACTGACGCAGCTTACTTGCATTACCCAGGTTACATCCTGGAGCACAATTTTAAATCGCGCGCTGGCACCTGCGTGTATGCTCGTGATGACATCTGCTGCCAACGTCTCCGCAACCTTGAGGATCCCAGTTTCTCTACATTATGGGTGCTGGTGAACACAGGTATAGAGCAAATACTCTATGCCAGTGTTTATCGGTCGCACACAGAGAACATGGAGACAACCAGGTTTTTTCAGTACCTCAGCGCCTCCGCTGAAACAGCCCAGCAAAGGTACCCGAGTGCGCAGCTAGTCGTTCTGGGGGACTTTAACGCACACCACCATGAGTGGTTGTTCCCGTTCCAGAAAACCGACCATGCCGGGAGATTAGCGCACACATTTGCTATGTCGCTAGGTCTCTCCCAGCTTGTGAAGGGCGCTACACGTGTACCCGATATTGATAGCCACACACCAAACTGCCTGGACCTTCTGCTGTCAACAGACCCGGACCGTTACCAGGTGGTAATTTCGTCTCCTCTAGGGAGTTCCGACCACTGTCTGGTGAAGTCCGTATCAGTCTACTCTCCAAGCGACCCGGAACCTATCGGAACTAGGCGTGTTTGGCGATATGGTTCAGCAGACTGGGATGAGATGCGGCATTTCTTTGCATCTTATCCTTGGCGTCGCACCTGCTTTTCTTCGGACGACCCGACTTGCTGCGCGGATGCCATTGCTGACGTGGTGCGTCAGGCTATGGAGTACTTTATTCCATATTCTGACGTACCACGCCGGTTTAGCGCCCGCCCTTGGTTTGATGCGGACTGTGCTAAAGCGGAGGCGCTTAAGCATTTTGCGTATCGCTCCTGGGCGGATGCTCGAGCCCGCAAATCACCAAATGTTCGAAGTCTGAAGAAGGCCTTTAACAGTGCCGCCAAGTCCTGTAAAGGTGTTCTCCGCAAGGCCCGCTTCGATCACATTGGCCGTATAGGAGCCAAATTAGCCTCCTTTCCATCCGGAAGCAAGGCTTTCTGGTCCCTAGCCAAAACAGTCGAAGCCAATTTTTGCCGGTCGTCGCTGCCGCCTTTAATTAAACCTGACGGATCGCTGGCTCACACCTCCAAAGAGAAGGCTGACTTGTTTGCCTCTATATTTGCGAATAACTCACAGCTAGATGCTGCTGGCGTAAACCCACCTAAGCTTCCTCAGTGTTCTTCTGCCATGTTGGAAGTTCGCATCCATCAGAAAGAGGTACTAAAAACGCTAAGCACTCTAGACGTGAATAAAGCCAGTGGGCCCGATGGCATTCCAGCTATTGTCCTGCGGAATTGTGCCCCTGAGTTGTCTCCTATTCTGACTCGCCTATATCGCTTATCCCTTGAGATTGGCCAAGTTCCGAAAACCTGGAAGCTTGCCAATGTCCAACCAGTGCCCAAAAAGGGTAGTCGTGCCGACCCTGCCAACTATCGACCTATTGCAATCACCTCCATACTCTGTAAGATTATGGAGCGTGTATTGAACAACCGTCTCCTCGCTTACCTCGAAGATAACGATCTCCTCAGTGACTGCCAATTCGGTTTCCGCCGTGGGCGATCTACTGGGGATCTTCTTGTGTATGCTACCCACTTATGGAGTGAAGCCACAGAGAAACGCGGCGAAGCTCTCGCCGTGTCTCTTGATATTTCTAAGGCTTTTGACAGGGTCTGGCATGCAAGTCTCATTGGCAAGCTTCCTTCATATGGAATCGCTGTCGGACTTTGCAACTGGATTGCAGATTTTCTGAGGGGCAGATCGATACGAGTGGTCATTAATGGCACATCGTCGGATCTGCTTGGTATTAATGCCGGTGTCCCCCAGGGATCTGTCCTCTCCGCAACTCTATTCTTGCTGCACATCAATGATCTGCTCCTAACTCCTGGTATCTTTGGGTATGCAGATGACAGCACAGTTTCGGGGAGATATCTGCCTGATGTGAAGTCTGATGCAGATGTCCGATCATTAAGGGAGGCGATGGTGGAGGGAGTGAATGCAACCCTGGAAGCTGTTTCCCTCTGGGGTGAAGCCAACTTGGTTGGATTCAATCCCTCTAAAACACAGGCCTGTCTCTTCTCGACGAAACGGAGTCCATTCCATCTGACTCCGACTTTCCGAAATGTCTCCGTGCCGGTTAAAGACCATCTCGAGCTCTTGGGTATGGACATCTCATCCAGCCTCAATTTCGGTCCCTACATCGAGTCCATTGCTAAAACCGCTGCCAGAAAACTTGGAATACTTTCTAAGGTCAGGCGATATTTTACATCTGAGCAGCTCCTTAACCTTTACCGAGCCCAAGTTCGCTCCTGCTTGGAGTACTGTTGTCACCTTTGGGACGGATCTGCTCGGTATCAGCTGGATGCACTGGACTCGGTGGAACACCGTGCGAAGAGACTCATAGGCAATGACGCTCTCGTTGAGGCTAATCTTCAGAGCCTCGACCACCGAAGACGTGTAGCTTGCCTTTCGGTGTTTTATCGGTTACATTTCGGAGAGTGTGCGGAGGTATTACATAATTTGATCCCCCCTTCCCCTTTCCACCACCGGACGACCAGGCGCGGCGAGGGCTTCCACCCTTATGTTGTCGAAGTTCCTCCTATTCGCACGAAGCGATTTGCTTCGGCCTTCATTATACGAACGGCTAGGGAGTGGAACTCCTTGCCGAGGTCTGTTTTCCCGGACCAATATAACCTGGACATTTTCAAGGCCAGAGTGAACAGGCATCTTCTAGGCAGGCGTGTACCATCCTAGGCCTCATCATCGCTTTCCATCAGGTGAGATTGTGGTCAAACGCATTGCCTATTTAGCATAAAAAAAAAAAAAAAAAAAAATCCACTGCTACATTTAGAGCTGTGAAATTCGGAAGTGAGATTTATTTTGCAGAAAAGGCTATGTGACAAGTTTGTGAAAACGTTCATTACGTTATTTATTAGTTAGGGACTCCATAATAAGGATATATGAAAATTTATAATTCTGTTCCGTATATCAGTAAAAACGAAAACAAAATTTCTGTTTTCAAATATGCCGCGGAAACGTTTCTGTAGCAAATATGGCGTGTTTACAGGCAGGTGACGTCACACGTCGCTAATTTTAACGGCAAACAATATAATGTCACTTCGAAAACACATTTCCAAGCAGGTGACTTCATTTTAGGCTCCGT